CAACGCGTTAGCGAGATAACGGAATAATCTAGGAAGCTTCGCTGTGATTCAAGAATTTTATAAGGAATCATTTAAATATTAATGAAACTAATCTTATCAGAATTACAGTGCAAAGTTCAAAGCTAGGAAAACAGGATCTTGACAGACAAAATAACAATGTAGATTGAATGTAGTGTTTTTCTGCAAACGTATGTGAGTAAATTCTATCAAAATGATACAAATTATATTTCAAGATGCGACACACTCAACGCTTTCCAAACAATTAAAACCAGAAAAATTGAGTCTCGTGTGGGCGGGGTTTGACTCAATATATTGACGAAACAATTAGTGCGTTTACATGGCAACGATTATCGTGCCAAAACCGTATTTTGAGCGAATCGTGTTCATGTAAACACTTTTGTTCGATGGCCAATCATGACTCAGCGTGTTTGCATCGTGATATTCCAGCCCATATATACCTAAGTTGCGCAACAATGGAAATTGGCCGCCATTTTCGATCAATGTCGCCCGCGAGGTTACGGCGGTTCTGCGTGATCCTCGGCTAGGCTGGTGCCTTCTGCTATAAAATTATAGCCTACTCGGCGTCTAATTGCAGCGGAAATAGCAAACAGTGCAACTATTGAAGCTATCGGCAGATGCCGAGAGAAGAAACAAATGGGAAAATATTTCTAGAGGCTGGAAATCCGTCCCAGGCAGTTCGTTGTGTGAGGTTAGTCAAACGAATGGCCTAATATCAAACTGACACCAGACAGGCTAGTAATCTGCAGGCTGTACATAGTTTTAGGATGATGTCACATTTAATTATTTATATCACGTTGCCGATCCCACTCACTAAACTTAGCCCAGAAAAGTTACGTTGAACTACTAAGATTTTCTAAACGCTGGCTTCGGGTGTCAGATGAGAAAAACTGTATTTAAATAATCCTAAGTAATGCAATGTCAGAAATCAGTGCATTGAATGTACAAGACTCACTGTCATGATTGCTTGGAGTCCTACGGTCACAACAATTCATAGTAATTATCAGCAATGTGAATGGACAATTCGGAGCTGGAAATAATGAAAATAATGCTTTATCTTTTGAATTTCTGAACTGAATGCGTGTTTAGTTAAGTCACTGTCTATTATATTTTGTGGTAAAAATTGGATGCTGAACGCTTGCTATTTCAAAAGTACGTTCATTTTATAACCTACAACTCATTTCATTTTCAGACTCATTTTTGAAAAATATCAATTTGAACCGAAGAGGACGGATAAATGGAAAAAAATAAAATGGGATATAGACAATATTCGATGAGCCAAATTCACCAAAAAATTCAAATCATCAAAAGCTGAATTAGCTAATATATTGACTGAGATGAAATTTCAAAAAAGAACAATAAGCCTACAGTAAGTTTTGAATGCCAAAGTAATTACGTTTTAGGTTTGATCAAAACATCCTACTCCAGGTGCCACCAGGACAAACCAGTTGTGCCAGAAGCCTATAATGTTGGGTCATATACAGCACAAGAGTGTGAGACTGCTGCTTAAGCCTCAAGCTTGACTTCAGAAGTACTATGGCTTCTGTTTATGCATGTGATGTATTGAAGACTGTAGAGGACGCGCTTCGATGGTTACTACTTTGCGCACAGTGAGTGGACTGTTGCATGTATCCAGAACCACATTACACTGTGTAACAAACATTTTGTTACTGGCTTCTGATTATTATTTTCTGAGAACAGCACGCAACCACATAAGAAAATTTGGATTTTTTGAATATTGGGGGGAGTATTTCACCCAAATCGTTTTTCGGGGTATATAAATAACATAAAACTTTCATTGTAACACAGGTGTGCTATTTTTTGTGTTTTTATTTATCCAAATTATTACAAACCTATTATAAATACCTTTTTAGCAATTAAAAGACTTGAAATTGAACATAAAAACACAGATTATTTGTTAAAGTCAATTTCACGAATAAGCACTCATATGTAGTCACCATCGCTTGGGTGACATGGGCAGTCACGACCTTGTAATGGAACTAAGATAAGGAAAGTCTGAATAAAAATTGGGCTTAGCTTTAACCTGGTACACATACTGCGGGAGTTTAAATTAATGTACCTTTTTCATGTCTTTTTTATTTAATTGTTGAAATTTCTATTGTTGGTCAATCGAATAGCACTTCTTTTCCACGTTTTTTATATTTAGTTATTTACATGCTATTGTTGATCAATTAAATGGTTCTTTTCTCATATCTTTGTTATTTGATAAGTATCATTTCTATTTTTGTTCAATCAAATTACTTCCAAATTGCTCTGGACTATCAGTTTGTTTGCAATGATTTCATGAAGCATACTGTTACACCAAAGATTTAAATAAAAATGTTCACTATTCCTATGATGATCATTGCTTGCTTCGTTTTGTAAACACGATTCTCAAGATGTGAATTATGAAAATTTTCCTATTGATTTGACCCTCTTGGGTGGGTCAGAAACGTTTTCAAAACCCATCTGCTAAAACTTCTTGATAAGTATACTTGTAAGTATTTACATTTTTAGAGTGCAAGTTTGTGAAAATCCCAAAATAGATATAAAGTTCATGCAATTTTAAAACATTTTCAGATTATAACAAACCTATGAATCAAAATCATCTTTCCCTATCCAGTGTGTTATTTTTATCCAATACTGTGTATGTATCACTGAGTTGCACTTTTTTATTTTTCACGTTCAGACACATTCTCGTCACATTGAAAAAAAATTTGTCGCTGATCCACTGTGTATACATAGCCAATTTAATTATTTTTTTCTGATTATTATCGTTCAAACTCCATTGAATTCAGTTTTCAGTTAAATATAAATTTCCATCACATTATTCTGGCCGCTTTTGTTTTATTTAACGAATGCAACCGCGGAGCCCCCCCCCCTTTTTTTTAAACACACACATGCTTAACATCGCTTTTATCTAAGAATCCCCCCATTTTGTTCAGAAATTTATTGTTAGAATATTATCGTAATTGTTTTTGCCACTGGTCATCTCTACCAAAACAATTTGATTTGCTGTAGCTATTTTATTGATGAGTGTATTTTTTGGTTGACAAAGTAATAAAATCTCTCTTTCGTTGTACTGCCATTGGTAAGGACGTTTACAATTCAATTATGCAGCGATAGGATAGGATTTACATGTTTATCCCGGGGGACAGAAAAGCCGATAAGTCGGCTTAATCATATGGCGAACCACGGCCTCTCATCCGGTTACCAGGTCAGGTATGTGATTAGTTAGCCAGTTATTTGTATTCGGAAGCAATGACTTGATGGTGGAGGAAGCGTAACCGACCAGCGGTTACGTGAACCACCCTACGGCGGCGAGAAGTCCAGCGATCCTCTCGCACATGATCATCCCCGCGTGGGATTCGAACCTGCGATCCCGCGAAGGGTAATCAGAGATGAGGTGGCGAGCGTATTCCCAACGATTAGCACGATGCGCCGCGCGGCCGAGCCCAGTATTTCGCAGCTGACATAGAACAGTAGAATGTTCTTTGGGGAATTTGACAGATACCGTAATCTTACTAAAGGGCAAATTTCTAATGTAACATTGCCAACAACATTTAGCTATAGGACAGTTGTAACATCTCATTTGACGTCGTCTTTACTGTCGAAAATTCAGTTCGTTTTAGTCATTTAGGCCCGTTGTGGTGTGAAACACCCCAAACATGGGACCCCAAATGGCGAAATAGGGTATTTCGAATGTGACAGAAGCCAAAAATAGCCCAAGCTATTTCAGAACGCCCTGGTTGTCAGTATATTCCGGGACAAGCGTGGCCCGGGGCGCCAGACGTCAATTCCGGGACTGTCCCGGCCATTCCGGGGACGGCCGATAGCCCTAGTCTGGAATATCTTTAGATTTTCCCATTTTTCCGTAGGCTATATGTGTGTGGGTGCGTTGACTTGCATTGCCCATTTGTTTTAGTGTTACGGAAAAATCGAAATGAACTTTACTTTACTAACCGTGTGTTGCGTCTATATTTTGTTTGTCACCGAGCGGCGTGGGTTGTTAATGTAAGTGCCTCATATTGAGTTCGATACTGACTGGGACGCCTTATCGAATTTCTGCGCTTTCGGAATATAACTACTCATTTAAATCTTCCCCAATAACTATTTAAAACTACTAAAATTAGGCTTGTTTGCGTTACACTACTCGACCCGAATGATCGAAAATGGCGTCCATATGACGCCATAACGGGACAAGTTAGTTGCACGGGGTAGATTTGCAAACACGATGCTTTCTTCACACGCGCGAACAGGGGCGCGCTGACGGTTTTACTTCAGCGTTTTCTAGGTCGCTTGCTCTGCGCTTCTGTGGACCTAATGTAGTACCGTACCGGTAATGCTTGCAGCGCGACAGCGTTGCAATTGCAAGCGAGTTTGAGCTTTTTGAAGTAATAATCAGTAACGCTAGATAGAATTCTTTACTTGCGGAAAATATGTTAAACTTCTTTCTGAACCAACAACGGCCTGTCCTGCCCAATGCAATACCGGTACGGTGCCGTAACTGGATACCGGTATAAAATATTAAGTAAAGTGGTGGAATTCTAGTGCCATAAATGGCTGAAACATATGTAAGTGTTTAAGTTCCGTGGATTATGAAATTCAGCAAAGGATACAGTCAGACAGTAGGATGTTTTATCTGTAAAATCAAGTAGCCTACGCAGAACTGATACGAGTCAGGGAATAGTAGGAGACAAGAATAGGGCTAGGGGCAGCCAGGGCAGGGATGTGTGGAGCTTTTCAACCACAGCTAGCAAAGCAAACGTTACATGCCCTACGTTCTAACTTAGAACGTAGGGCATGTTAGCCTATATATATATAGACTATATATACTGATATATTCATAGGCTACATCAAAAATACAGTACCGGTACCGGTATCTGACCGGTACTGTTCTTGATTTCGAAAATTTACCAAATGTAATTTATTGACATAACACATAATAAATTCCATTCATAACAAACCGTTATTTGGTTTACTGATTTATATTTATCGCAGAAAAGTAGTAGTGCAGTTTATGTTCATGAGTGAGATGGAGTCTATGTCAAATCTAAAAGTTAAGTGGGAAGGCAATGAGGTTAAAACAATGCTTGGCATTGTTCGAGAAATGAATCTGGTTGCTCTGCTTGACCAAGAGGAGTCTAGATCAGAAGTTTTGTACAAAGAAGTTGAGAAACAGTTGACAGCGAAGGGATACAAGAAAAGGTTTGGAAGCACAATCGTTATGTTATACAGTTTCAGTTCTTTGATTCATATATTTTAGTAATTTCTGAAAAGTTATTTCTACTTAATTTTTAGACATTTGCAATTGGATTTTGTTGAAATAATATTAGATACGAACTATGTTAAAGTCTTGACTAGCAGTATGTTTTCAGGTTTTAAATTGGCTGGTTACTAAAGCTAGATGTTTTTTCATTTGTAGTTTCCAACAAATACATTATAAAGTGAAGGCCTTATGGTCTACTTTCAACAAGATAGTACGTCTGCATTCTGTTGGTGGGACGGCTCACATAACATGTGATTATTATGATGAGCTTGATGAAATCTTCGGCCACCACCCAGATGTTGATTATACAAATATGGGAGTGGATACTGGAACCACAAACGCTGTATCACTAGGTAATAATTTTTCTTTGATGTTTTTGAGGCTATGAGCCAGAGGCTATGGTTCGGCATATGATTAAGCCGTCCTATGAGTAATATACTACTATGAGGGCTACTATGAGAATCCTATTCTGTTATCACCCTAATAATGTCATTTTAGCACACAAATTTATTATTATGGGAAATTGTCGACTGTCTTTTCAAAATTGTTTTGCTTATGCTTAGATGTTGAAGGAGATGCAGCTTCAACTACAGAGACATCTTTTGATACATCCAATCATGGAGAGAATCCAGAATCTGGTTTGTGTCTATATAAATATTTGGTATACCGGTATATTATATGTCTCAACCAGAACATCATGCTACCTAATTGAGAGATGTACTGATGCATTGATATCGGCCAATATTTCGGTATCGGCTAAATAAAGAATGATATTTTGATATTGGAACAAAATCTTGCGCAAGTAACTCAATGTATAAGTTTGGTATCTGTATCGGCATTTTTAGTTGGTATCGGCGACAAAAGTGGTATTCGTACATCCCTTTCAATTTGAGATAAGTTTTATTTAATTATATTTCTATAAAAGTTTAACTAGGAATTGGGCATTTTCTAGTTAAGTGAAAGTCTCTTATGCCACTGTGCAGGAAAAAGACCTTCAGTTGACTTTAAAATCCTTTTCGAGAAACAAAGGGAGTGGGAAGAAAAAATGATGCACGAGCAAATGGAAGCCCATGCGCAATTGATGAGAGAGACTGTGCAACAAATGGGGACGATACTCTTTGCATGTGTGTCGCAGCTTTCAAAAAAACGAGGTAAAAGATTATGTTTCGCTTAGGCGTATATATAAGGCAATTCCTTAAAAAAAAATTTACTCCCTCGACTGTAACCAACTGCTTTGTAAAAAAGCAGGAAGTAATATGTTTAAAATACACCCCGCTCCTACTGTCACGCGTAATCTGGAGATCCAATTGTTTTAAGGGTCTGAGGAGTAAATATGGATGATTGTGTGACGACAACAAGGTTACCCGATTGTAAAAAGCAGTTCGAGTTGAAGCATCAAAAATTCGTTTATCATCTGCATGAGAAACTGAAACGATTAGCTCTGTGGATCCAATGTTGTTGTTTTATTACATATATTGCATTGCACAGTAATACACAGTAGGGGTATAGGCAAGCTTTATAATATAAATAGATTTTCTCCACCAGAAAGCTTAATGAAGGGAAGGTACTGCACATCAACTTAATGGAATGACTGCAGGGGGACAATTGGAATAAATTTCTGCAGATAGACTAGAACAGTTGTGCAAAGCCTCTGCACGCCCATTTTTGAACTCTTCAATATGGTTTATAATCTGTATATAAATGAGCATCATGGTAGAATAGATAAAGTTAGTGACCAAAGCAATAATTCCAGATTGCTTGGGAAACGTTGCTGTAGTGTAGTGAAGCGTTGAAAATCGCCCAGCATTTGTAGTTGATGGTTTCATTACATTTGAACCATGACAATTGCACCTGCATACTATCGCACTCATGAATTTTTTTTGTTTTACGGATATTTGAACCCATACTCACCCTAACCCATGGGTTTTAGCACCCGCATATAGATTGAACCCGCGGATATACGCATGGGTTCAAATGTACGTGGGTTCAAATGTACGGTCACCGTAGTTGATATGTACTGATATTTCGGAATATGTCAGATAAAGGATATGAAGAACTAGCAGGATATTCGCGAAATTTGTATCTTTGCTCTGTTTCGTATGAATGAGAAACTTATAAACACGTACAAGATAGTTAACTTGTAAAATTAAAAACATTTTGCAAAAAATGAATTCATTTTCAGCAGTTAAACCGAATTTAAAAGCAGCCGTGGAAGATGAAACTGGCAACTGTTTTCAACTCCAAGTACGATGCCAACAATTTTAAACCGGATCGAAATTCAATGGTGTCCATGTAAACACGAGACATATTTTGGCGTTCGATTGTCCGAAATACGATGTGGAAACGTTTATTGATAAAACGATTATCGTGACCATGTAAATGTCAAATGAGAGCTGAAGGTTATTATTATGACGTAGACTGAAGGTTGGACATGATAACAGTACCGTTTGCCGAGCGATTTTGGCAATCCTTAGCCCAAGCAGAACGTCTGGGAACTGACAAATATATATTAGCTGAAAGTGAAAGTTCATCGTAAATCAGCAGTAGCTCAAATAATGAAATGACCGTACATAACTTGAAATCGAAATGAGTAAACGCAAAAATATCGTTGATGGTTTCTCACCTTACAAACAGAGATAGAGTAAATGACGCTTGCTAACTCTATCCAATATTAGCCTGAAATGCGCTGGATAGAATAGGATTTACATATTTATCCCGGGGGAGAGGAAAGCCGATAAGACGGCTTATCCATATGGCGAACCACGGCCTCTCGTCCGGTTACCATTCCAAGTCGGGTATGGGATTAGTTATATATTGTTTGTTTCCGGAAGCATGGACTTGGTGGTGGAGGAAGCCGTAACCGACCAGCGGTTACGTGAACCACCCAACGACGGCGAGGAGTCCAGCAATCCTCTCGCACATAACCATCCCTGCATGGGATTCGAACCTGCGAACCCACGCAGAGTAATTAGAGGTGCGGTGGCGAGCGTATTCCTAACGCTTAGCCCGTTGAGCCACACCGCCGCGCCATGGATCATGTCTATCGCTACAATGAATTCTGGTCCCATGCATTTTATGGTGGAATTGCAGTGCTATGATTTCTACTGATGTTTCAGAAGATTTTAGACTATAATATAAGCCAGGGTGGTCCAAGGTGGCGAGATTGACGGGCCGCAAACATTTTTGAGGAGATCTCGCGCGAGCCGCAGTCGGAGAAAATTCAAAAGTGATCAAAACATCGCGAGTTTACTAACATCAATTAAATTTATTTAAGAATGAGAGTTTATCGTTCTAATCAGTTTTTAAATGAAACTATATAAAGCCTTTATTGCCCAAAGCCTAAAATTGCATCCCGAGAAATATCGTGGTATTTCCGGTGTCTTTTCTCGTGTTTAGTTTTGTAATGTCGCCTAAAATCATATTCTTTCGTGACAGATATTACTTTGAAACACACCAGACACTGTGGTTCAACGTTGTTGTGAGTAAGGAAATACGTTTACTCTCCGTTTATCTCGATCACATTTTTTCTACAATCATTGTATGATGAATAATTCATCACCTGTAGCAGGCCTAGTGCTAACGTCAAAAAACAACTGTCACACGGCCAACGCCTGAAAATAGAGGAATGTTTTGACTGAAATAAAGGCACAAAACGTCTCTTCAAATGAAGAGTTACTTGACGCGAGCTCATCTCATCGGCTTGGTCCGGTCTTCCCAAGACAATTCATTTTCATTTTACAGATCACAGGACGTCATTCCAATATAGCCACCGTCTTGACGTTTATATATACAACAATGAAATTCCGTGATTTTAACAAACATCAATCCCGACATCGAGATTAAGAAAAAGAATGTTATATTCCCAGTTCGAATAGTTTAAAATTAAATCAAAATTGTTCTGCTAATGAATACAAATATCTGCCAATGATTTAGTAGTGTACGCTAAAATTTTTCTGCGGGCCGCACGGAATGTGTCGGCGGGCCGCAATTTGGACCACCCGGATTTAAGCCATAAGTGGAATTTGTCGCTTATTGTGTTTTCACTGCCTACTGTATTTACTACCGGCATCCCAAGACAACGACAAACATTTATATATATATATTGTTATTATTGTAGTATATTATTGCTGTATATTATTGTTAGTATTGTTATTGCGCAACCCTTTGGAGGTAAAAAATCGTCTTTCTCCGAGACTAATGGGCCAGAATTTAAGAATTCCAAAGCAATTAAATGCATATTGAATATAACAGTGACACGTAAGCATTTTTTAAAGCCAAATCGAATAAGTTCGGGTGCTCCCTAAACTCGAATAGAAATTTATTTCATTACCATCGTGCTAAGCGTTAGGAATTACGCGCCTCTGATTACTCTACGTGGGTTCGCAGGTTCGAATCCTATGCGGGATGGTTATGTGCGAGAGGATTGCTGGACTCCTCGGCGCCGTAGGGTGGTTTACGTAACCGCTGGTCAGTTACGGCTTCCTCCACCATCAAGTCCATGGTTCTGAAAAACAAATAACTAAATAATTCCATACCCCGGGATAAATATGTAAATCCTATCCTATCCTATGAAATGAGCATACACTCTGGCTTATTAGAGGTGAATTCTTCGCCATGTCCATGTGTCAATTTAAAATATAAACATATTCCGTTTATCTTCATTTATTTTTGTCTGTTTTCAAAATATTCAAATATATGATGTTCGAGTTCTGTGAAACATAGCTTGGCAGCAAGGCGCTTATCGATGCCGAATTTCATCACCACTAGAAGATCCATTTCTAATTCACTCAGATCTGTTTACAAGTTACAGTCCGATTGAATAACTGTAACAATTATTCGTAAATATAGGCTCTCCTGCAAGTCGATACGAATTTTGCGTAAAATTTATATTGTTTTTTATTGTTATGTTATGTATATCGGTAATAATCATTTTGTTAAAAAATATTAATTATGGCTCTATTGAAAGAAGGGTCGCGATTAATGCGTTAGAGGATTAAAAAAACGTAAATCGCATGCTCTGGGGTTATCAACCAACAATCAGTTGTTAACATAGCCAAAGACCAAAATTGTATCTACGAGTAAATGATACAGACATATATCTTTTTGACTTAATGGTTATGTAGGCTTGAGTGACTACCGAACCGCTCAAAATCGTCTTTTCGGAGCAGCAACAAACTTTCGAAGCGATTGAGCTTTAGCCGTAACCGTAAGAGGGTAATAGAAAAACGCCAATGAGGTTTCCCGTCGATACACACACAGGAAAAGCAACACACTAGGCAGTTATGTACACCATAACGCTCCAATGCTTCTTTTTTTAATGGAATGAAAATACGTCACTTTTAACAGAAAAATTCCAGTCATCAGCATCGGGTTTGCTAATTGTGCCCGCATGATATAAACAAAATTAAATAAGCCCCGTGGACTCGTATCATTCGAACGCTTATACTTCTGAAATGACGGTTATCCTATTGGTCAGTGTATGATAATAAAAAAAATATTCAATCACGATATATATGTGAATCATTTTAATACATTTCATTCATAAAATAAATTACCAAAATTTCCAAAAAATTAAAAGAAACCTTTGAAGAATTAAGATGCCAATGTTAATAAAATTCGACCGATTTATACAAGTTGGTATCAAGTTCGATCATAATAAAGACAAAGCATATGTGGGACAATGTCGTATATGACAAGATACAACAGCGGTGATTACGTGAGAAATGTGACTTCAGCCTCATCATTCCTTCCCATGCCATACCATAATCACAAAGATGACGGAATAAAATTAAAATGCTGATTATGTTCTTTGTTTGAGATTTTCCTTTTGAGTCATTTTGAATTTATCCATAACCTAGTGTACTCCATAAAAGCTTATCAATGATTCGAAGATTTTAATATCATCTCGTATAATGTGTGTCTTATAAAAAAAAAAAAATTGGTGTATTTCAATAAAAACTGTAATTGAAACATAATTAATATGACATTTTTCAAAACGTACTAGTATAATTTGCCTTTAGGAATTTTCAGTATTACTAAAAACTTCGTCAATATTTAATGTATTGCTAAGCCAGATATGTATTTTGTAAATTCGTAATTGTGTCTGATTTCTGGCAAAGATCGTGAAAATTTAGTCTGTAAGTTAATGTGTTGAAATGAAAAATTGCGGAATAAACTTAGCATTGCATGTAATGTCAGAAACTATCAATGTCCAAGTTGTCGACCATGCTTGAAATTTAAAGATGGTAGACGATGTGTCACAATTTCATAACGAAGAGCAATGAAATTAAAAAAGTCTTTTCTTTACTGTTTTGCTGTATTTATATGTGTATTTTTCTTAGTGTTATATGTCC